AAAGGAGGAGGGTTGGGCATGGGGTTAGCGCCCCCATCCCGTAGAAAACTAACTCGCTAAAAAGACGCTAACCAGAAAAAATTATTCAAACCTTTTAAACTCTGCCCTGGGAGTCAGAAGGTCTTCATTTAGAAGAATTATGACGCCTCATGATGAAAGCCGAATTCCTTCGGAAGTTACGAGGCCGATGCCCCTTCTGACAACCAGAGCGACCATTTATTTAGGTACACAGAATGTTCGTACAATGTGGGACACCGGAAGAGCCTTCCCAATTGCTGCAGAAATGAGAAGATACAACCTAGAGGTACTTGAGATCAGTGAAACACATTGGACACAAGTTGGACAACAACGACTAACTACAGGAGAGCTCCTGTTATACTCCGGCCATGAAGAAGAAAATGCACCACATACACAAGGAGTTGCATTGATGCTGTCCAAACAAGCGCAAAATGCACTTATAGGATGGGAATCTCATGGACCAAGGATCATCAAAGCCTCCGTCAAAACAAAGAAAGAGGGCATTTCAATGGGCATCATCCAATGCTATGCGCTACAATGAAGACGCTAAAGGTCAATTCTACAATAGGCTGCAGTCAATCATCGAGAAGTGCCAAACAAAGGACCTGACCATTCTGATGGGAGATTTCAACGCCAAGGTTGGAATGGACAACACTGGATATGAAGACATCATGGGACGACACGGACTGGGAGAAAGAAACGAAAATGGTGAGAGATTCGCAAACATATGTGCCTTCAATAAGCTGGTCATAGGCGGCACCATATTCCCACATAAACGCATACACAAAACCACATGGACTTCACCGGATCACTCTACACAAAACCAAATCGACCATATTTGCATCAACAAAACGTTCAGGAGGACTATAGAGGACGTGAGAACCAAGAGAGGAGCTGATATAGCATCAGATCATCACTTGCTGGTCGCCAAGATGAAATTGAAACTCAAGAAGCACTGGACAACGGGGCAGACAGTATCACAAAAGTTCAATACGGCCTTTCTCCAGGATACTAACAAACTCAACAAATTCAAGATAGTCCTCAGCAACAAGTTCCAGGCCTTTCATGATCTACTCAATGGAGAAGGAACTACTGTGGAGAGCAACTGGAAGGGGATCAAAGAGGTAATCACTTCAACATGTCATGAGACCATGGGTCACAAGAAGCACCATCACAAGGAATGGATCACTGTCGATACACTGGATAAGATTCAAGAAAGAAGGAACAAGAAGGCAGCAATCAATACCAGTCGAACAAGAGCAGAAAAAGCCAAGGCACAAGCTGAATACACAGAAGTAAACAAACAAGTGAAGAGGAACATCAGAACCGACAAACGTAAATATGTGGAAGATTTAGCAACGACGGCGGAAAAGGCTGCAAGAAAAGGAAACATGAAACAATTGTATGACACGACAAAGAAACTCTCTGGAAATCGCTGCAAACCAGAACGACCAGTGAAAAGCAAGGAAGGCAAGGTAATCACCAACATTGAAGAGCAACAAAACAGGTGGGTAGAACACTTCAAAGAACTGTTGAATCGACCAGCTCCACTGAACCCGCCCAACATCGAAGCAGCACCCACGGACCTCCCAATCAATGTTGGCCCACCAACAATTGAAGAAATCAGCATGGCCATCAGAAAAATCAAGAGTGGCAAAGCAGCAGGACCGGACAACATCCCAGCAGAGGCACTAAAGGCAGACGTAGCGGCAACTGCAAGGATACTCCACATTTTCTTCAATAAGATTTGGGATGAGGAACAAGTACCAACAGACTGGAAAGAAGGACTTTTGATCAAAATACCGAAGAAAGGCGATCTCAGCAAGTGTGATAACTACAGAGGCATCACTCTTCTCTCAATACCGGGAAAAGTCTTCAACAGGGTATTGTTAAACAGGATGAAGGACTGCGTAGACGCCCAATTTCGTGACCAACAGGCAGGATTCCGTAAGGATAGATCGTGTACAGACCAAATCGCAACTCTACGGATCATTGTGGAACAATCAATTGAATGGAATTCATCACTCTACATCAACTTCATTGACTACGAAAAGGCATTCGACAGCGTGGACAGAACAACACTATGGAAACTTCTTCGACACTACGGCGTGCCTCAGAAGATAGTTAATATCATACAAAACTCATATGATGGATTACACTGCAAAATTGTGCATGGAGGACAGTTGACAAAGTCGTTCGAAGTAAAGACCGGTGTTAGGCAAGGTTGCTTACTCTCACCGTTTCTCTTTCTCCTGGTGATCGACTGGATCATGAAGACGTCAACGTCTGAAGGGAAGCGCTGGATACAATGGACATCTAAGATGCAGTTGGATGATCTAGACTTCGCAGATGATCTGGCCCTTCTATCCCAAACGCAACAACAGATGCAGGAGAAGACGAACAGTGTGGCAGTAGCCTCAGCAGCAATAGGTCTCAATATACACAAAGGGAAAAGCAGGATTCTCCGATACAACACAGAATGCACCAATCCAATCACAATTGACGGAGAAGATTTGGAAGATGTAAAAACCTTTACGTATTTGGGCAGCATCATTGATGAACAGGGTGGATCTGATGCAGATGTGAAGGCGCGGATCGGCAAAGCAAGAGCAGCATATTTACAACTGAGGAACATCTGGAACGCAAAGCAACTGTCAACTAATACCAAGGTCAGGATTTTCAATACAAATGTCAAGGCAATTCTACTGTATGGGGCAGAAACCTGGAGAACTACAAAAGCCATCATCCAGAAAATACAGGTGTTTATTAACAATTGTCTACGCAAAATACTTCAGATCCATTGGCCGGACACTTAGCAACAACGTACTGTGGGAGAGAACAAACCAGATCCCAACGGAGGAAGAAGCGCTGGAAGTCGATAGGACACACATTGAGGAAAGCACCCAACTGCGTCACAAGACAGGCCCTCACATGGAATCCTGAAGGTCAAAGGAAAAGAGGAAGACCAAAGAACACATTACGCCGGAAAATGGAGATAGACATGAGAAAAATGAACAAAAATTGGATGGAACTAGAAAAGAAGGCCCAGGACAGAGTGGGTTGGAGAATTTTGGTCAGCGGCCTATGCTCCATTGGGAGTAACAGGCGTAAGTAAGTAATCTGTCCGCATTACTTAATTAACTGTGATGAGCTTTTCCATAATAGTATAATCAGTTGAAAAGTTTTCGTAAATTTTTAATTTACACCATCGTCAAACTTCTTTATTCCATCTGCCAAAGATGTAGTCATACAAGTGTTGACTGGTTTTTTTACTAAACATACTTTAATTCGTCAAGTGTATTAATGTTGCTTATGAAAGTGGAATTAATTATTGAGCATTTTGGACATGTATTATCTAAATATGAAATTTATTACCGATAAATATTACTGTACCATATTCTATTTTTATTACCAACTATCCGCTCATCACTGATGTTGATCTTACATTATGAAGTACAACTGCCTTAACTTCTGTTTATTTAACTTCTACACCAATTAAACTATCAGGATCACTATTATATATTCATATTTTGATATATGATCACGTACTGACAGTATTTCAACTTACATTCACTTTGGGATGACTGACTAGAAAATTCTTGTGTAATACAATGTCTGTAGCACATATACTCTCCACTTGTTCTTTACACTTATCACTAAACGTTGTATCCAGATATGATCTAAATGGTGGGGCCATAATTTATCAAGAAACCAATCAAATTTAAGACGATGCCTCTTGGATTTTTGCACGAAATCAATCAAAATGACTACAATTCTGGTATCAAAATTGATGTCAGCTCGTGATGAAGACCCGAAATTCTAACTCTCACTCTGAATCCTAATTCATAATTCTACTGTTGATCCTAGCAAAATAGTTTGGAATTCTTTTGAAAACACTTTAGTATCAGAAGTAGTCGTCTACAAATTGTAGCCTCGCCGTTGCATTTATGCAAAAAAAGCAAATAACTGATTGGTATTTAGCTACTTTTTGTAGTCTTGTTTAGGTGGTATATGAATATGCGTAAATTTGCACAAGGAGCTAATCGTCGTTTGTATGATGAGCATTCATTTTGCATTAGAATGTAGTTGAACATCTCATTAAAAGTATCAGTCTAATACTATGAAACATGATTTGGGATATCGCGCAATCTAACTTTCAAACACTAACGCTTCTACGTCTCAAATTATTTGAACAAGCAACTCAAGTTTATTGAACAACTACCACTAAAAGTTATACAATGCATTAGTTTCTCGTCACTGCTAAGTATAGAAAAGCTAATTAACCCTATCAGTAAATCTGCGTTTTTCTATTAAAATTTTAATTTGTTCCATTTATTGTCTTGATAAGTTTACATTTATTCTGCTGATCAATATTAATTAACTTAATGCACAATAAGCACGTGGTATTTGAAACCAAGAAATTTTGTGTGCTGAAATTCGTGCTAAGCCTGATGACTTTTCTGAAATGTTTTTTCCTCTCACTCTGTTCATAAAAAGATGTTATGAAATGAAGAACTTAGCTTTAAGTTTTAAAAAACATGATACTTTTTCCTTTGGAAAAAAACTAGCATTCAACAATATCATCTGGTCTAAATTCCTAACCGAATGGATACCTACGGATTCATTTTAAAATAAATTTACCGACTTATGCATGTTTATTTGGACAATGACCTTCACGTCCAGAATACACATAAATGTCCTTAAACGAACAGCTTAAATGCTTTAATTTTTTCTATATTTCTCCATACTATCCAGTGTTTTCAATTAATACAACTGAAAACACCATGACTGTCTGAAACGTCAGTTTATTTCCTCGTGTCCCCCTCTACCCCCTTCGTTTTGATCACATACTGATCATTTTGCTGTTGTGAAAGCGCACAACAGTAAATTAGTCAACTCATTGTGTTTATAAATAGTTATGCAATTGTTAATTTCCATAAATCTAACTTAAACGTAAACTTGCTTCTTTGTCTATTTTTAAGTGCCTCAGGTACCGTTCGACTTGGTCGAAATAAAAGAACAGGACAAATTGTAGCTGTCAAAGTGATGAAACTAGATAAGCAGCCCAATCGCGATTTAATCGTTTCCGAAATTGCTGTCATGAAGCGCATACAACATGAAAATATCGTTAATTACTTAGCATCTTATTTATTAAGAAATGAAAACCAGCTATGGGTTGTGATGGAATACCTGGATGGTGGTGCACTGACAGATGTAGTCACTGAGACTGTCATGGCCCCAGACGTAATTGCCGCTGTTGTTCGCGAATGTGTAAAAGCCTTGGTATTTCTGCACGATCAAAATATAATACATAGGTATAGTACATTAACCTCATGTTTTCTTGCTGCTTTTTATCTCGTTCTAGGTATTAACAGGGCTGTAATAACAATTCCAGATATCACGTGGCTTACTTCTTTTCATCGCTATGAAAAACGTAATATTATAATCTACCCCACAAAGCAAACATTGCTATGGTATCTGAAAAAGTTCAAATATCATTTGAATTACCCCAACCTATAAAAAATAACTAGTCAATTTTTATGCACTATGTTTTCAGTTCTTTCAAATCATTAATCACATTCGCAAAACTTACCTTTACTTTGACTCCATCAGTAGGTGAATTTATTAATCTATTTTTACAAACCAAATTAGTAGATGTGCACACCTTTTAAGTATGTATAGCTATTTACAAGGTCATATGATGTATAGATCAAAGTGTTTTATTGAAATTTAAATGACAGCATATTACTTCCCAGATTCAATGCAGTGATCTCCATAGAATTAACATGATTAAGTGGTTCTGGAACGTATATACTTACCGAAGATCATTTTTATCTGAATAGCTCACTAATGATTCCTTTAACTGCGACACAGTGGCATAGGTTTAAAACCCTAGTTACCAGAATTACCTTTCTAATCACTGATGAAGTGCATTACTGTCGGATCTGATGACTTCCTGTCGATCAATTTTGAGAATCCACCACCAATTTGCATCACAAAGTGCAACTATTTAAGTTAATAATCACATCGTAATGAAGATACAGTTGAACCAATCAATTCTTAACCAGTTTTTCCAGAAGTACCCTACAAGTCCTGTTCGTATAAGCCATATAAACTAGCACAAGTTATGAAGCTTGAAGATATGTTACAGTGAAGCAGTTTTTTAAAATAAGAATTACTTCTTTTTTACCTCTAACCTACAACGCGAACCAAAATAAATCAATTTAATTACATTTTCACAGGGATATAAAATCTGACAATGTACTGCTCGGAAAACAGGGTCAAGTCAAGGTCACCGATTTCGGATTTTGTGCTCAGCTTGGTAATCGGCAAAGTAAACGCCAAACCATGGTTGGAACTCCTTATTGGATGGCTCCTGAAGTTGTTTCGAAAACTGCAAATTATGGGCCGAAAATTGACATTTGGTCACTTGGCATTATGATTATTGAAATGTTGGATGGAGAACCACCTTATATGAATGAACCTCCACTAAAAGTACGTTAAACCATGTATTTATCACATTGTACAACTGATGAAAGTTTTTATCTTCTTGGATTATTTGGGTTAGTATTGTTCGACCGTAGAGCCTAAGGAAGCTTGCCATTTGTTTAGAAAGACATGTCGTCTGCTGATGACTAAAATGTTGTCCGTTCATGAAGACTTTATTTGAAAAAGATAAATTTATAGAAGTTCCCTCCACCCAAGCATTGTACCTCTCCAAAGTGTTATATATTGACCTGTTTTCTCTATCCTGGTTTAAGCTCATTTCGTCTGAAGGCCATTGTTAATGATCAGCTAGTCAAACCAATGTAAGTAGATTTTAGCTCAAGCGTATCAACCTGTGATTTGATTTTCGATCACTGAACCCATGATACGGAGTTCGCCAAACTTCGAGTGTTGCCAGCTCATAAAAACGACTAAACAAAACGTGTGCTTGACCAATGATTTGCAACAACCATATCCGGTCAGCAATATAACTCTGGTGTCGGACTATCGAATGCAGGGTATTAGTTATCAGCATAATTATTGATCCCACTTTCATACATCTTAAAACTTCAAGAAGAGAGTTTTCAAACAAGCATTTCTCAACTAGATTGTTGCAGTGGACGACTATTATTCTAGTGTCAAGAAATAAGTCTTAGCGACCACTCCAACAACTACTTGACAGACAAGACACACATATGGTCGAGTGTGTGCGCTGTCCAATCACTTTTTATAAGGTGTCAGGTGCAGTCTTTGTATCGAGCAAGTCCTAAACATCGAATAATATTCTGCGCCCAACCTTTGGAAATCCATTCAAATTTTTACGAACTGGGCTATTTCTCAAATTCGCGGTCTGTTCTAAATGGCCTTGGAAGCTTATACCCGTGGTCCAAATAATAGTTACCTGACTGCTGATGCACGAACACCAACAATCACATTCTCTTCATTCTTCAAAACTGCTAAGACTACCTTAATATGCTTTTTGCCCTACAAATGAACGATTATCGTAGGTCTCCTCGAAAATTTTAGGGAACGGAAGCAGCTCTCTATTACAGAGGCCTGTATGCAGCTTCAAGGTAATCCTGGTGGGCTCATCCGTTGTTAAACACTGATCCATCTTATGACCTTAATTAGTCGCATCAGCTCCTAGCTTCAATAGCTGTTAAATTGCCCACGTACTCAACGACTCCTATCCACTGATAAACATCTTCATCTTCCTCCCTATGTTAGTAGTACTGCTTAAATTTGAGTAAATAAGTATTATCACTAGCCCTTGCACCAAATGTGTAACTTAAAACCGTATACGCTAACTTGTATTTAGCAAAGGAGTTGTGTTAATCCATTTAACTAAGTATCTGTTCCTGAATTGTTTTACTCTACGATCGCTACTAACTCGGCTCCATTAAGTATAATGCCCAATACACCGTCTACTACAGTCTCCAAGAGATCAATACGCTAGATAGGGGTGTATTAGGTTGTCTTCAGATTTCCGTGTAGACAAGCGGACAATGTAATGGCTTTCAACTACTTATTTTTTATCAACAGTTTCAAACTTACTGAATGACCACCTAACCCCGTTAACGTTAACATAAAAATGGACGCACAAATCATCATACTAATTACTGTTAGGTGAGATCTTTAGGAGGTTCTCACTAATCACAGATTACCTGTTCACATTTTGATAATGATCATCATATGTCTGTGAAGAAAGCAAACTGCTGGAAAGTCTATTAACCTTCGGCTCGACGATAAAGTCAACAAGAAATAAGCTAAACATTAAACTAGAGATGACTCAACTGCTGTGAGGAACAACTAAAATAGCCAAATTTAGTTGGTATTCAAAAATCGATATGTCCCCCCAATGCCATATGAAATGACTAGAGCACAAATATTTATCCTGGTTGATTACGAGCATAATGAAGAGTAGAAACAGCCTCTACAGATAAGCAAATGGTAGTAAGAAATGCGAAAGTAGTACAGCATGCTCGAGGTTATTCAACCGGATGAAATACGAATGTATTCAATCTTCGTATATTTTATATTATACGTTTCACTACTGGTCAAAATTTTATATGGATATCTTATTTTTGTTTATTTAAGTGAATCATAAGTGAATTATGACAACTTGGGTTAATGAGTCTTCATCCAACATAAGATGTTGATGTTTCTTAGTGTTAATCACAAAACCTAAAATCGAAGAATTAATCGGTATACTCTACCTTCAAACGCAAGCCAAAATACTATTGAACTTAGTCACCTGTCGCTGATCTTAGCTGTTATCGGCTTCGTCTAAAGGAATTTGAAAGGGCTATAGTTATAGTATCTTCCTAAATACAGTTTGGATGTCTAAGGTTATTGCAGAAATCTAGCCACAGTGTTAGTACAAACATGTTAACGCCTACATTGTTTGTGTAAAAACAACAAGTATGAAGTAAAAGAAATTTTCATTGCTTACATTTCAATTGTCCTTAAACAGATTTCGCTACTAATATCATTTTCTGTTTCCTCAAGCTATTTAACATGCCGACTCTAGTATACTGTCTCATTCTTTTGTGAACCACATTTTAATTTGTTAACTATCAGACACTACTAATTTACAAGTTCTACATGCGAATGTTTTGGAAGCACTAATTCTTAATTCACATTCAAACTATAATTTCCTACTAAAGCAGATAGTTCTATGTAAATAGAAAGGTTTATGTTGTTACTTATCGCAGACTAGTCGCTGACTAAGTTAGAAACTGAAAAGTTTGCTACTAGTGATTATTGTAAAGTCTATTTCAATTTTAAAGTAACGAAAATTTTTGCATTACTCAGGCAATATACCTCATTCAAACAATGGGAAAACCTAGACCAAAAACCAAGAACTTGCACCCGATGCTTCAAGATTTTCTGGACAGATGTCTAGTCGTAGATCCTGTAAGACGAGCTTCTGCAAAGGAACTGCTTAACCACGATTTTTTTAAGCATGCAGGGAGCTTGTCTTCGCTTGGACCGCTTATTCGTGCAGCACGAGAGAGTCTTGGAAAAAAGGAATAAGAACGGAAAAACTTAACATCTAGCATCAATCATGACGGAGCTAAGAACCATCGAGTAAGCCGGACAATTATTATCATAAATATTTCTGTCCGCCTGTTCAGTTTCACAAAAATTTCTAACAGGAATATCATTTTTATTATTACTCAATTTTTGCAAGCTCGAATCCATCACACATCTATATTTTGTATGCTTTGACTCACACTTTACCTACAAGCCTAATCCAGTTTTTAACCTAGATTAACCTGTAATTGCTAAATCCTGACTGCTGTCTTTTTTATTATTTCAATCAAGTCTTTCTGCTGCTTTGCGAATGCATCGTGAAGCAGTTCACCCCGATTTTTTGAATGATCATTAATATGTAATCTTGATTTTTTTCTGTAATAGTCTACTACGCTTAGAAAAATAAACGTATTAACAACTTTTTTTACAAAAGCAATAAACCATTTTTGACAATTTTTATATAAGGTTCGCACATCAGTTATTAATTATGTATACCGACTAGCGTGGGCTAAGTTAAATACATTTACTACGTCTGAAGAATAAAGAGAATCATTTTGGTAACGAAAATAAATATTGGCACGAATACCTGGAGATTAGAGTCAAGAAAATAAGTATTATGGACAAGTTTGCAGGTTAAACACGGAGATACTATCACAGTTGGATCCCGCAGATATTTCGCCTTTAAACGTCTTCCAAAACCATAGGCTGGAAAGTAAAATATAACGGAATTGGTAGTTAAAAAGCAAAAGGTTTATTTAGGTATCAGCTAGTGCTGATCAGTTATTGTTTCTAAAACACCATTATACTTACGCTACTCCGTCCAGCGCTCATGGTGCTTGCTAATATGCCTCTTTGATACCTCCAAGTCATGTGTTCCAAATCAGGCACGGCAGTGCAGTAAACAATTTCTACAAGAAAATTAAAACCGTGAGCAGCTTAGTTACTGTGTAATTAAATAGCTCGGAACATTTCCCAAAGTATGAATAGACGTGTTAAACGTTTTTGAGAGCGCCTCTTATATTGTATCATTTAACAGGTTGTGTGGACTGTGTTAGACGAATGAATTACTTAACTACGGTCTTGACCGTGTGTACATCAGAACTAACACAAGACCTCTTAAAAAACATCCACATAAATCGATGTTTCAAGACAGTAAATAGTGAAAAAAACAACAGGAGTGAGACGATCAAAACAAGTCTTAATATATGTGGAGTAAAATAAGTAGGATAATTACAATCTGGAGTCAAATAAACCTACTTCAATTTGTGTCATTTTAAAACCTTAGCTTTCATTTTAGAGCCGAAGATAAATTTGTCATGGGTTCTTTTAGAACTAAAACGACGGAAACTTGGTCACTCATGACTAGCTTCAAACCTACATGTTAACTCAAGTTCTCATAATATGTCAATACAAAAAAATGAGGATGACCATGGTCATCATAATACTAGTATCAGTAACAGTGGGGAACACTAGATTGGACACTGCTTGAGGAAAGGATGAACTCGAAGAACACCAGACACTATGTAAAACTGAAGCTTAGGGCTTAAGAGGATAGCTTAGGAAATAAATTACTTGACTTCAAACAGTCCGATTCCAGATCTGACTCATTTAGATCTTAAGATCCTGGCAGTATCACCGGGTCTCAGAGTGTACGTCAAAAGCGAGTGTACAAATCTCTACTGAGTTTAGCACTGTGTATAGAATGATAGACAACACAAAATAAAACAAATGGATAATCTTCCGGGATACCACGATAGTGAAGTACGAAAGTACCAAGGAATGGGGAGAATGTTAACCATGGTAGGAAGATGAACGTAGATATGGCTCGAAATGTTGCATGGTTCGAGCAGGAAAGTATGGAATGACGAGAAAATATGAAGATAGCGAACAAATACAAATACGTTGGATTTCGAGTCACATCAGTTAGTTTTAGAAGACCGAGCTCAAAATCGTTTGCAATGGCGCAGGTGCATCCACTCTTTGTGTTCTCCCAAATTTTAATCTTCTTCATGTCCCTTTTTTTTCTCTTCCCAAATTTATTTCACTGGATTATACTCCTTGAATAACATCTTCAAACCCTAACGTTTCTGATTACAGCTTATAATTTTACTACATCTAGCACTATGGGGTTTGAATCGACCACTGCATCTCTGTGCTGTTGTATGGCAACCCGAACTGATGTACATACGTACGAAGTTCTACGTTGTTACTGACTGACTGAGAAGACCGAGACCAGAATGTTTACCATTTTTCACACAATTTAGACTAGTAAAGAGGATTTCAATCACCGTTATCTTTTGGTTATTTCATGCCTTGTTCCAAACTACCCATGCTAGACCAAAGAAGGCTATGCAAACGGTAAGTATAAATCTTCACGTGACAAGTTACACAATGACTAAAATTTGAGTGAGTTTCCCCCCGTTTCAAATATCAGTTGAAAGGGACAATTTCCTACTGCATAATATTTCACATTTTAGAATATATGATAAAGATTTGCAGCTCAGGTGAATGCTTTCGATATCTGCAACACTAGTAGTTAGCAGCATTTTTACATAAATACTAACTCTCCCCTACCACATATCTGTTGTGTGCCATATAATTTAATGTAACAAGTAACTTTAGCCAGTCACGTTCATACCCTCAATAGCCAAAGTGCACTATGACCGCTGAGGCTACGAATTTACAAATGGTACTGAGCTTAATAAATCTCACAAAAGAACCCTCTGGTTCCCCATACTTGATATGCCAAAAACTGTACATATTACTCATTAATTGACACTATGAATGTTACTGCATGACTCATTAAAATAAACATGAGAATTTATTAAGGCTAAAACAGCAAATGAACCTGCACAAAGTATTTACGAAACGAACTATTATTTAGGCGACAAAACTTTCATGTAAAATAACTAACCCCCAAACCTATCGCCATTGGGTAGACAGAAGGACAACGCCCCGACGACAGGACATTGGTAAGTTAGCTGGAGGTTTGGAGGAGTGATATTTAATGTTAGGTCTATAATTTGACGCGGAGGAATTGGAAGAATAGGGATTCTGCCATCTACACCGATTGGAAGCCATAGAACTTCACTGTTATCTGCAGATAAGCTGTTTAGTCGAGCAACAGCATGGTCTATCTGCTTACAAATGTGGTTAAAATAATTATGAACGGGCACTAACTTCAGACCGTAGGAACGTTCCTTCAGGCCAGGAACAAGAACCGCAGTTCTCGACAGTTACTTTGATAAACCCACCAAGTTCCGGAACATCATAAGGTGATGGCCATACCCGTACATCGAATTGTCTTTGGTTTACCACAACTTCAGAATCTATACGCATGCAGTCCACATTCGTAGATGATTCGCAAACACTCACGGAAGGGAGTGGGTAATTCGATGCACAACTAACTGGTGCGGAACCCTCAAAACTGAAATCAAAGTAAGCACCGATTGCACGTTGTAGGTTCCTTAAGCACTAGTATTATCAGATTTTTTACTTTACCAGTCGGCCAATTCTAAGAAAAACCGACACGACTCGTTAGATAGCTCATTCCCAACAACTGCTTTTAGTTGATTTATTAACTCATCCTTGTCTGTTGTACCAAGTGCACTAAACTGTTCTAGTAGTTTGGCATCTATGTCAAACATCCTGATTCTTATCGTCAGACACTGTTTTCCATTTTGCCGGCAAAATTCGAACGTAGCGCACTCTCAAGGACACAAATCATCCAAACCAACATCTATGTGACTAGCAGGATGGCGGGAATAAATGTCAGTATTATTGACAGAAATTAGTTCCAAGACGCATACTTAATTAAGTGTGCAAGGTGAGGAGATGGGTAAGATTTTTGGCATCATTAGTGTTGATGAAACAGGCACCATTCTCACTGAGAATATATATTTCAAATCATTACTTGCATAACGTTGACGGCGTTAGATTCTCTCAGTAAACTAGTGTGGTGTTTGTACTAAATGGTAATTCTTTTGCACTTGATCGTACGCTTATTACGAATTACAAATATAATACTTTGACTAGTTTCACCTGAAAATCTTAAAAACCGATTTCGGTTCGTGATGATTCTCTGATTATCATGTATCAGATTGCAGGACAAAAAGAATTTTAGTGGTGCCCTCAAATGTTTCAAAGTTAAACTACTATCAGTCATGTGACTTGCTCACTGGGATGATAATAGATACCCAAACTTTGCAAAACTGCTTGGCATTCTTGATAATACTGTGGATGTGAGCGGTGTTGTTCTGACTAATTACTTGTTAGAGTCAGATAGAAATACGTAAACACCGGCGGACAGACCATATTTGGAACACGATCTTAGCAAAACTATCCCAAAGGCAACTGATAAGGCGTTCTTTCGATGAATGAAGATTATTGCTCCAAGTGTCTCGAAAAGGCGGACACTGATAACTCAATCTATAAAACTCGAAAGAAGAAATTTATGGAGTAGTTCGTGGAGTGTCACAACAACTCCAGCCCAAAACTGGTACGATTGTTAAAAATTGACGGAAAAGTGAAAGAATCTGGCTAAAAATAAAATCTCCTTTGGAGTAAATGCCAGTGAAAAACCACGGAAAAGTCTCGTAGATTCGTTCGAAAGCGTAGTATGATTGATTGACTAGCGTATGATGGTTTTGAACAGGTAGTGGGAGGAAGGCATGATGACCAACAAGGTAGAGTCGATTACCATGGTGTTCGCATGATATAATTGCGGTTGGTAAAGGATTATATTTGTTAGAAGTCAATCTTGTCATCTGTCGCTACATGCTTGAAGGTCTCCAAAGAAATATATATCTGAACAACGTTTATAGTTTTTTTCAATTGCTTGGTGGTACGCTGATTATTCTGATGGCACTATGGCTAAAAAAAACAAGCGTTTATTATATTATTGAGTGCGATGAAGTGCAGTATTTCAAAAAGAACTTGTGATGGAGTAAGTTGACATCACCTTGAAATTCAAGCACTCCATCTGAAGATGTGGTTCGAAAAGTTTCCTAATTATTGACCTTTACGTGAGAAAAGATTTCACTGCAACTGATGGTATGCTAGACTTT